AATATATGGGTTCTTTTTTAAACAGAGGAGATTACAGAAATTGTGAGAGAAGAGGTAAAGAAATACAGGGAACAGGTGGACAGAGGCAAGGTGATTATGCTAATTTTCTTCTTTCAGGTCTCAGCAGTTTGTATAATGTACATTGTCAGGCAGAAGCCATCATCTAGCAAGGGTAACTACACTCTTTTTTTTTGTTTTTGTTTTTTTTGGGTCCAGTCGTGGGGCCTAAAATCTGGGCCTGGGCACTGTCCCTCAGCTCTTCAGCTCAAGGCTAGCGCTCTACCACTTGAGCCACAGTGCCACTTCCGGCTTTTTTTTCTTTTTGCTTATGTGGTGCTGAGGAATTGAACCCAGGGCCTCATGCATGCAAGGCAAGCGCTCTACCACTGAGCCACCTTCCCAGCCCCCGGTAACTACACTCTTAAGTGCACATTTCTCTTTGTTTTTTCTTCATTTACTCATTAGATTTAGTGTACAGAATTTTGCTTTTAACAGAGCATTTTTGATTTGCTAAATATGTATTTCTGAATAACTACTCAATGATTTAAGCCATGCTGTCCCATTCTTTGTATTTATTAATTCTGTCTCTCTGTCTCTCTCTGTCTGTCTCTCTCTGTCTCTGTCTCTCTGTCTCTGTCTCTCTCTCTCTCTCTCTCTCAAAGCCTGGCAAGAACCAGGCACTGATGCCTCATACCTGTAATTCTGGATATTCAGAAGCCTGATATTTGAGGATTGTGTTTCAAAGCCAGTCTGAAAAGGAAAGTCTATGAGACTCTTATCTCTGATTAACTATCCAAAAAGCAAGACATGGAGCTATAGCTCAAGTGGTAGAGTATTAGCCTTGATGGGAAAAAAAGCTCAGGACACCATCCAGGCCCTGAGTTCAAAATCCAGGATGGATGCACACATGCACATTCCTGGCCATGAGAAGCACAATGGCTCCGTTAGTAATCCCAGCTAATCTCCCAGGTAGGGATATAGGAGGATCACTGTTTTGAGACTCACTGTTGTGAGATGCTATTAAAAAAAAAAAAAAAAAAAAGCAGAAAGCACTGGGAGGTTGTTCGAGTTGCAGATTATCTGGCTCACAAATGCACTCAAAACTCCATTACCACCAATAAACAAACAAATAAATGAAATTTTAAAATAAAATACAAAGTCACACAAAACATTGGCAGAGACCATTCAAACCAAAGGATATGGGTTTCAAAGAACCTGAGATAAATTTGTACTGGGTGTTGTAACGTATACTGCAAGTGCTTCAACCAGCAAAGAGTAAATAAGTGACAGAGCTTAATTCTAGTACAAAATTAAAATAAGAGTGTCTCTGATTCAATCAAGAGGAATGGTTGAGCTCATAACCCATGCTAAAATGAATACCTCCAGGAATAGTAAAAGCAAAACTGAACATTTTGAGACCATTACAGTATAAATTTCAGCAACATCTTCACGTTTAGAAAGATGTCTAACCGGGCGCTGGTGGCTCACGCCTGTAAATCCTAGCTACTTAGGGGGATTGAGATCTGAGGATTGGGGTTCAAAGCCAGCCCAGGCAGGAAAGTCTGTGAGACTCTTATCTCCACTAAACCACCAGAAAACCAGAAGTGGCACTGTGGCTCAAGTGGTAGAGCATTAGCCTTGAGCTAAAGAGCTGAGGGACAGTGCCCAAACCCAGAGTTCAAGTCCCACAGCAAAACAATAATAATAATAATAATAATAAAAATTCTATCATTTGTGATGCAATACACAACAACAAAAGCAAAATAAAGAGTCCAGCTAATTTTAAAGTAGGAGAAAAATGAGAACTTCCAATTTATTTTGGGATTTTAGAAGATGTATCCTTCAAAGATACTTGCATCTTGACAAGTTGATAATAAATCTGGTCATAATCCAATTTTTTCAACGTTAATTTTTATGTTACTACCAATTCTTCCTGCTTTCTTGTTCCTTTCTCATTTTACTCAAGCCAACAATCAATACAATCCAAACCTGGTTATCTTCACAACTTTGGGTAAAGAAGTAAACTGATGGCTAATTTCATACTAGCTTGAGATCAACTACACCCCATTACAGTTATCTTGCTGGGAAGAGAAATTAATTAAAAAATGTCCATGGCAAAAGATGTCCCAGTAGCTCTAAACTAAGAATTACCCCCACAGAGGAGGAGAGAGGCTAGAAATAACAGGGAAGTGAGGGGGGAAAAATGAATGGTGCTTATCTGTATGGAAAGCTCCTTTGCAAGTGTACCCACAGTGAATTACACGGCACATATGATGACCTGAGCAAGGCAAGGGAGCCCAGTTCCTAATTCTATTCTTCAACTTGGTGATTTGCTAATGTGAAACACATGTCTCTCTTTTGCACCAAGTTCAAATAATGCTGGAATTCTAACCGTGCAGCTCAGCGACTGAACCAGAACAAGGAGAGAACTTGTCAGGATTTAAGAGCTTTCTGCAAAGCCCTTCAATTGCAGCTGGCACCCTATTCCACAGAAGGATATCAATTATAGATAGCGACTTGCTTTCGCGGGCCGTCGGGACTGTCAGACGCTACATAGACAACCATGAAGAATCATGAATCTTTCTATTAACTGTAAGCGGGGCGGGGGTGGGGGGGGATCAGAACTATAAATAAAACAGTGTATTGCAATGGTTTAACACCTGGCCAGTAAGTTGTAGACAGCATAAAAATTAAACTAAGTCCCACAATGTCTCCTCTCCAAAGAAAGTCATAGGAACCCAAATGGGCCCTAATCTCTGTCCCTAAACATGTGGCCTCTGAAACTGATACTGATTCCATTTGTTCACCAAAGTGCCCAGGTAGACCTGAAGTCATTATGAAAATACAAAGCACCTACCCTGCACTAGCCACCTAAGGCCATTAGATACACTCAGAACAGGGAAAGTATGGGAGTGGCCAGTAGCAGACAATGGAAAATCAATTTAAACACCCAAATTTGGGGTTTCCATCCTTTAGGTACCAGCAAAACAAGTGGAATGCAAGCAATACCATCCATAGTCTTCATTTCATATTGTTGCACATTACAATTTCTATTTAACTTTACTTCCTCATATAATTTAACTGACTAAAATTGATATCCTAAAAGTAACATATTAGATTTTCTTCTAAACCTGACATGAATTTCTCCTAGCTGATCTAGAATAAGAAGATTCCACTAAACATAAACTCAAGTTTGCTAGTTTGAAGGACACTCTGCCACTTGAGACATACCTCCAGTCCAGCTTTTTGCTGGCTATTTTACAGATGGAGTATGACAGACCTTTCTGCTCAGGCTAAGTCTGCACTGATACCCTTCAGATTTCATCCCTTAATAAAGGAACTTCTATTAAGACAGTCAGCAAGAATAAAGGGTCATTAAATCAGTAATACTTGTATCAATTTAAAAAGAAAAAAATAGAGTGTTTTCTGTGAAAGATTTCAATATAAGAAATCTGTACAGAAGTGGTGCTGTAGCTCAAGTGGTAGAGTGCTCGCCTTGAGCTGAAGAGCTGAGGGACAGCGCCCAGGCCCAGAGTTCAAGCCCCACAACTGACAAAAAAAAAAAAAAAAAAAGAAAGAAAGAAATCTGTAATTCTCCCTATACAATTCCAAAGAAGTTATTTTCTGAAGACATGGAAGAAAGGCCTTGATGATGTCATGTTAAATTCTCAAGACATTACAAATAGATATCTCTCAAGCAGGCAAGCTGTCTACCTAGCTCTACCACAGAATGGCTAAAGTCACAAGCTCATGCAGGCTATGAAAGATGAGAAAAGGGCTTTTGATCATTTCCATGTTTCACCTAAATAGAAGAGGATTAGCAAGAAATAATCAGCCAGCCTTTGTGGTTCATATCTGTAACTACTCAGGAGGCTGAGATCTGAGATAGTCTCAGGGCAGAGCTAGCACAGGCAGACAAATCCGAGACTTTCATTTCCAGTGAGCCAGCACATCAGTCCTGGGCTCAAGCCTATATCTACGTGGATGTTCTGCAGGACTCTAAATTCCCTTCCAAGTCTGAGCCAGAAAGGCTGCGCAGGCCTTAGAAAGTACCAAGTACCAGGAAATTATGGGCAAGGTCATGAGGGGGTGGGTGGGCAAGAAGGTTACTACACTCAGAACTGACCACAGGAGTGCAACTAAAAGACATCCAGCCACACATAGGCTGAAGCCTGAGCATGAACATTCAAGCCAGCCTGGGCACACAAATCCAAGAGACTCTTCCTTCTGATTAACCACCAACAAGCTGGAAGTGAAGCTCTGGCTCAAATGGTGGAGCACCAGTCTTGAGCAAGAAAAACTAAGGTACAGTACCCAAGCCCTGAATTCAAAGCCCTAGTATTGGTAAAAGGGAAAAGCAAAACAAAGCAAAAGACATGTAGACCTGGTTTGGTAAGAGAAAATATGGTTCTCAATCTGATCATTCCCTGTACTTTTCAAAAACATATACTGATAAAGACATCAGAAAACACATACAATGATTACCATGATGAGAGGTTTACTCTGGAGGCTATAATAGATCAGGAGCCATTTGTGTTAAGACAGGCTACACTAAGAAGGGGTTCCTCAGGCCGAGGGTATGCAGGGGAGGAGGGAGGAGAGGAGTCCTACCCCTGCCTCTACATTTTCTTTTTTATTTTTACAGTCTTGGAAAGGGGAAATAAACTTGGTTAAAAGGTTAATAATAATTCATGTCCAGCTTACTATTACTCAAAAACCATCAAAGTCGCTAACTCAAAATAGTGTTTTCTGGCTTATAGGATCAGAGTCATTACACTCTCCATTGAAGACTTTATTGAATTTTACACTAAGCTTTAGCTGACTGCACAGGTCAAACACCATAGCTTGGAGTTTTCTTTATTCTCATAAAGTCATAAAGCCCTCTCGACTCTGCAATGCTCCGAGCTCAGGAACTTGACTCTGCCAGGGTCAGAGAAGCGAACCTCAAAACGAAGGGTCATGCGGCGGGAAGCCTGGATGGCTGAGCGCCAGTCACTCACGTGCACCAGCTGGTCCTGAGTGTCGAACTCCCGGGCGCAGCCCTCCCAGTGGCAGTTCGTCTCGTAGATGACTTCAGGCTCCTGCTTGCTCTCATCTCTGTCCCCTTCCTCCTTGACAAGAGTTGTTCCTTCTGGTTGCTCCTGGGGGGGGGGGGGGGGGGGGGGGGGGAGGGAGGGAGGCAGAGGGAAAAGAAAATCAGAAAATCAGCAGAAAATCAGGTCCAGTAGAAGGAAGAGAAGAAGAGAAATAAAACCCTGATTTAGATTTGTCTTCCTTCTAAGGCAATTTTTTTTTTCAGGTGAAAATAAAAGAGAAGCTGGGTTTTGTGAATCAAACAAAGCTAACCTGGAATCCTTTGTGTGCGTGCATGCGTGTGTGTGTGTGTGTGTGTGTGTGTGTGTGTGTGTGAGAGAGAGAGAGAGAGATTTCAAACACTTGTTTAACTTGAGTTTCAAAAAAGGACACTGACCACCCTTTCTTGACAATAGCCTATAGCATAATCAAGATGAAAAAGCTGAAGTCAATCTGATTTGCCCTGAAGAGAAAGGTTGCAAAGAAACCAAAATGATACCTTCAAAATAAACAGAAACAAAATAACCCCCCCAAAAAACCCCTAAAAGAAGTGTGTGTGTGTGTGTGTGTGTGTGTGTGTGTGTGTGTGTGTGTGTGTGTGTGTGTGCTAGTACTAAATCAGAACTCAGGTCTTCGCGTGCTTGCTTGGCTTTTCCCCTCAAAGCTGGTGCTCTACGACTTGAGGCACACTAGAGGAACTTAAGCTCCACTCTTTTTGCTGGAGATAAGAGTCTTGAAGATTTGATTGCCTAGACTGGCTTTGAATCTCAATCCTCAGATCTCAGACTCCTGAGTAGCTAGGATTATAGGTGTGAGCCACCAGTGTACAGCAAGAAATAATTCCTTACCCCAAAGACTCATCTTTTCTATGTTGTTCAGTTATTTTAAATCCTTTATCCCCATATTAATTATTCTTCCATTTTTGTAAATCAGGGAATGGTTGTACTTGGAGTTCTGTTTTGCCCAAAGTTGGAGCTTATGAGAGGCCCTCTGGACTTTCTGGGGACAGTGCCCTCTTGGGTCAGCCTCTGGTTTCCATGGATACATGCCATGGTCTGAGGCCTAGGAGCCTCAGCACCTAATGCTCCGCAGTGTGTTCTTCACAGTAATGCCATGCCGTTCAAAGAGTCTCCAGAACTCTGGGGCACAACTAGGTATATAGAGTTCTACCCTATAACCAGATGATAAAAATCATGTGCGGGATACAAGGTATAATCACAAAATTAATGTCTAGCAAACTGTAGGAAGGAAGGTAGATTTCAGAATCTTTCTCACAGAAAGGGAAATCTGGGCTAAAGCATGCTGAGATGGAGACTACTGTAGCCTAGTGATAGCAAAGTCTAGATCCTTAGAGGTTAAGACTCTCCTCCAGCCTCTGTCACTGGTCTACAGCAAGCAGAAGAACTCATGGGATGGATTTCTGGGCATAACCAACACATTTCTTCAAGGAAGCCAGAAGATCTCAGGGATTAGAAGCAGAGCCCAGAATCTAACCCGACTCGGATTAGCTGTGCCTCAGTCCCTCCTGGTACTCCACGCTCTCTAGCCAAGTGGGAAATGGGGGAAGGGGAGTGAATGGAAGCTTAGGAATGTTAGCTTAGTTTCTGCCAGCAACTCCAGCTGAAGGGCTGAGGCTGCTCACATCTGTGGTTAAGTGCATCCAGCCGTGGGCTCGATGAACTACAGTTCAGCCAACTCCTATGCTATCTCAACTACCAAGAACACAAACACTACCACCCAGCTTGACCAGTGGTTCCTGCCTGCTTCTGAGCTAGGGCAATCAATTAAGTCCCTCTATCATGAGTCCATTTTCAAAGACATTGAGTATGGCCAAGGCCATACATAGCAGGTAAGAAAAATGCTGTGAACAGACGCCAGGCAAACAGCAGAGAGCTGTTCCCAGCATGGAAGGGATGGAAGTAAACCTACATAGCCTGAGTGTCCTACCTGCTGCCCGCGTCCTCCTGGACTGGGGAGGTCTTCATCTGGCTTGATCTTGGAGCGTTTATTATGCAGGGGGTCACCAGTGCTGCTCACCGCAGACTCACTTGTGGGCTTGTTCTGCTGATCAGATTTGCAGGAGCAGAGACAAAAGTTTGGTCAATAAATGGGGACTCAATAAAAACCTAAAACTGAAGACCTACAAGTGTATTTGTGTCAGAGATTAATAAATGTCACCATCTTCCATAACACAGGAGAGTTTAGATAATGTGATCAGAACTGGGCAAAACATTCATGAGGCAGTTCCTTTATTTCTAGAACTCTATTCATGACTATAAATTCCCTGGGCTATTTAAAGGCTTAGAAGAACAGGGCTAGGATCGTAGGTTTTAACAGAGTCCAACAGTGATTTCACAAGTTCTAAAGTTGGGTAGGAGATCCAATACAAGCCATTTGTGACACTCATTAATTTAAGCATCCACAGTCTTCCCACCACATTGTCAGGGTGGCAGTAAGAAGGAAAGATTGGCATTGGTTTCTTCTTCCCAGTGCCTACAGTGGCCAAATCCAGCAATGTAATTACATGGTCAATTTGTCACCAACCAAAGTGCTTTAGAAATGACAACAGGTCAGGGTATGGCCTGATCAATTATTTGCTCTGGTTGTGTTTTGTGTGTGTGTGTGTGTGTGTGTGTGTGTGTGTGTGTGTGTGTGTGTGTGTGTAAATATTGGGGCTGGAACTCAAGGCCTTGCACTCTTACTTGGCATTTTCACTCAAGGATAGCATTTTATCACTTGAACCACACCTCCACTTGTGCTGGTTCTTTGGAGATTTGAACCTCACAGACTTTTCTGACTGAATTTGGCTTCAAATTATAACCCCTCAGATCTCAGCCTCTTCAGTAGCTAGGATTACAGGTGTGAGCCAACAAGCACCAGGCTAAATTATCTCATTTGGTATTCATGAAACACACAGCTGTGACATAAGACATTCTGGCTTAATGGGGAGCATCACTGTGTAGCACGCTCCCCCAAACTGAACAATAGAACTCTGGGTACCAAGATGAATCCCAAGAATGTCATGGTTCCAAGCCAATATGGTGGCCAATCCTCTCCTTCACTGACCAAGATGATCCAGAGCATGGAGCTACTCTTCTTACCTGTGAGGACTCAGAAGGGCCGGAGCTAACCTGGACTGGGTTCAGGACCGTAGGGATTCCTGGAACAGGCCGCTGTGTGGGGAACGTAGGGGCAGGGTGGATGAGTGGAGGGCTATGGCCAAAGGCAGAGCCCAGGCTCTGCTGTCGGCTTAGAATCTGCTGATGCATGTGAAGAGAGACAGGTGCGGATGGATAGGTGAAGCTCAAGGCAGGGCTGTACACAGGGAGACAAAAAACAATTAAGTCAATAAATAAGATTAAAATTAAAAACTTCAATTAGGCAGACAGTAGGGTCAACTATATAGTATCTGGAGCACTCTACCTATATTGTTACCATCCCAATCCATATTGGGGTTTTATCAACATAAATGAGAAAGTAGAAATTATTACTGTCGAACATTTTAAACCTTTCCAAGAGAAAGATGACCATTGAAGCCGGGCATAAGGGTACATGCCTGTAATCCCAACACTGGGGAGGGGAAAGGAGGGGGGAGGATGGCCAGGGAGGGGAGAGGGATGATTATCAAGAGGAGATATGCACACCTAGGCACCCAAGCCCACAGACCTGAAGTATCAACTCAATAATAACTATTTATTGCAATAACAAACTCGAGGTGAGAAAGAGGATGGGTGACTACATGCTTTATAGGACTTCTGTGGGCTCTAGTTCTTCCTGAGCATGGAGCAATTCCTTCATCTTAGTTCCCATCGCACACTTTCATATGTCTCCAGATCTTATTACAAGAGGAAAGAAAATCAATTGGTTAAATGCGCTTGGAACACTGTACGTGTCATATCACTCATTTGTTTGTAAAGATGGAAAGCTCGCTTCATCCAGAATGCCACCTAAAGAATTCCCATCAGCGCCGTCTGCTTACGAAAACTGATGGATTAACCTCTCTCCACGGAAATCAGTGATCAATGGACTCAAGGACAAATATTCCAATGGGAGAGCCTGGCGCCCTCCTCATGCTAGACAGCATTCAATGCCCATTACAGTCCATAATGCCTGCTAATGCCCCCTAACGCCTCCCCGTCAGCCAGTAAAATTATGCAGCAGTATTTTCTGGAAGGGAGGGTACTACAGAAATATCCCAAACCTGCCATAGTGGCAAATTATTCTTCAGGTTTAAGAACCAAAGCCTCCTAAAAGCCTATATACCTAGCTACTCAGGAGGCTAAAATTTGAAAGGTCACAGTCCCAGGACAGCCCAGGCAAAAAAGACTCCATCTCCAAAATAATCAACAAAAACCCAGGCTGAAGTAAGTGGCAGACCATCAGCTTGTAAGCAAGTCAGTCAAGTTTAGAGTACTAGGGCCTGAGTTCAAGCCCCAGTACTAGCATTAAATAGAAAAAGATTCTCTCAGAAGAATAAAGGATTCTGGAGGACTTTTGCCCACGGCTTTCAAAAAAGACATGGGAAACTAATAACTACATTTATGGAAATTTTAAAAAATCAGCGAAACAAAAAGTATGTATATGTATCTTCCTATCCTGCTGTGTTAATACTCAAAAAGAATTAGGATTTCTTATAGTGTCCTAGATAGAACTCATGCAAATTTCCAATCTGGTGAGTTAATTGGTACTATTAAGTACATTAACTGAGAATGCAGTAATTATAATAACGAAATCCCAGCCACTTCAACCCCTTTTTAAAGTAATAATTCCAGAGACACACAGTTCATTATAATGTGATTCCACATTTTTGCCTATTTGATTACCATACACAGAAGGTACCTTCAGTGGGATTATATGACTATTGTTCCTCCACAGAAACTTTCCTTACAATAGCTGGCCCATTTAAGAATGAATACCATTAAGAATACCCTAGGAGAATTCCACCAGGCTTTGAGTAACTCTCCTTTCATTCCACATTGTATTTCCTTAATAAAAGGAAGCAGAAAACAGTCATTGTTCACAGGAAATTAGGGAGAAATCAGTAATAATACTGTGTTTCTGCACCACTATAAGTTTCTGTCCAGATTTCTGAAGGCTATAGTGAAGGATTACAGCGAGACTTAGCTAAGGTAGCTGGCTCGGATGATTGATAGAGCATTAATCAAAAGATGCATATCTGCCTCGGAATTTGTTCCCAAGCTTTCTTCTAATAGCTGATTTCGTGTTCACTGAGCTCTATGCCAGTTTGTCCAATTTATTTTTCAGTGTACAAGTCATTCATCAAAAACCAATGATTTAACATGCCCCCCTCCTTTGCGTGAATGGATATTACTAAGTGTAAGGACCTTATTCTATTCATTAAAGAAACAGAAACCCAAAGACCCCATTTCATGTATAATTACAATGGCAGGCAGACTCCACAGGGACCTCCACATGTCTGTCCACAGTTCTGGGGGCCTCAACTATCCAGAAGGCTCAAGAAAGGGACCCAGAAAGCCACTGACACTTCTGATCCAAGAAAGGGTTCATTCTGAGACTTTTAAAGCCAGGACCTGCCAGGTACCTGTGGCTTATACCTGTAATCCTAACTCAAGAGGCTGAGATCTGAGGATTGCAGCTCAAAGCCAGCCAGGGAAGAAAAGTCTGTGAGATTCCTATCTCCAATTATCCAGCTTTAAGTAGAGGTGCGGTTCAAATGTTAGCATGCCAGCCTTGAGTGGAAAAGGGAAAAACAGCACCCAGGCCCTGAGCTCAAGCTCCAGTACCAGCATATGCTAAATCTTAGAGACAGAAACAGACAGAGCTTGGGGGTGAGGGCAGGGGGAGAGGGAGCAAGAAAAATAAAGTGAGTACTTGATCAGAAGCCACAAATGAACACATTTCAAGAGGCAGCAAATACTGTTGGTTTTTTGGTATAAGCACGTGACATACATCTAGGATAGGAATATTTCTAAACACATGTAAGAGAGAACAGAACCCAGGGCTGGCCGCCCTTTGCACTTTTTGGGGGTCCCAAGCCCCTTGGTCCTCAGAGTGCTTGGTTCTGGGTTAGGAAAGATTTCAGCACTATCTGGAAATGTCCTCTTTGGAGACTGCAGTATCCGTAGTACAATCAGACGAGCAACATACTCTACAAGCCTCATCATCATTTTAGACTGCCAGGGAAATGAGAGCACAGAACAGACCAGGGATTTTCCACCTTCATTTCTTATTCCAAATGAGCCACCACACTTTTCCCTGAAGACATGGACTCTCAGACATACTATGATGCTTTGTCTCTGCCCAGAAGAGCTGGCCCCATCCAGCTGTGCTGACCACGCTCCAGATCACAGGGCTGCTGAGAACTGAAGAAACTAAAGCCTTAAATCTGTGATCTGTCATCAAGGTCTCTCGATCTCAGGATGTTGCCTAGAGGATTCTCAGCCTCAATTGCATAAGGATGGAGCAGAGAGGGGCTACTGCTGGACACTACAGGTAGGACGGCCAAGACCACGGAATGGCATTCCTGCCACGCCTCCTCCACTCCTGTCAATTCTTCCGGAACTCTAGGGAATTCTCAGTCGGCCCCACGGCCCAGCAGAGGCCTGCTCCCTAACAAGACCTGCACACTGGTATTTCCTGTCTGCCTCAACTAGAATGCTTAGCCTCCAAAGCTTAGCACAACTGCGTTCCTTCCATCATTTGAGTCCCAGCTCAAATGTCACCTACTCACAGAGGCCTTATGAACCAATATCCCCATAAACAGGAACTATGTATACCTCCTTGCTCCTTAGTTTTCAAGTTTTAGTGATGTTAGGATTTGAACTCAGGGTCTTGTGCTTTCTAGGCAAAGATCCTACCACTGGAGTCATGTCCCCAGACACTGCTGTTATTTTTTAAAGGGGTCTTCAAATTTTGCCCACGTCAGCCAGAGACAACAATCTTCCTTACGGCAGGGATTGCAAGTGTACACCAAGACATCCAACCTGTTTTTTGTGGGATGGCCTCAAACTGTGATCAACCCATCTCTGCCTCCTGCATGGCTGAGATTATCAGCATGTACCACCATGCTCAGCTAGAGAATCTGATTCTAATCACAGCACAGAATACTCCCTGGTTCTATATTCCTTTCTCCGTTTCTGAGCTGAGGTTCAGGTAAGCCATGCATGGTCTAGCTCAATTTCAAGTGAACACTGAGTCCTTCTCAGCACCCCACTCCAATCAACCACTATAGACACAGCGAGGTGGAAGAGCACACACTGGCTGTCACCTGATCCAATCAGCAGTGTACACTGAGTGGGCAGGGCTGCCTCCAATGGAGGCCCTAGGCTCCTTGCTTCTTACAGGGCCTTTCTGCAGAGGCTGCTGGCATTTCCTGGCTCAAGGTTCCATTTCACTCCCATCATCCCTCCCCTGCTAATTCTGACCCTCTGAAAGGACCCTCCCACTCCTTGGGACCACCCCAATCACCCAAGGCATACACTCATCTCAAGATCTACAGCTTAATCCTGTCTCCCAAATTTCTTTTAGCTTGTAGGATGATCTAGTCCCAAAAGAACATTGTCTTCCACTAAATGTGACCGTGAAAACAAATCTACAAAACACGATTAAAGTTAGTGTCAAACTTCACTCCGTAATAGCAGAAACTGAAGTTACAAAGAAAAAGAATTTCAAAGGTAAATTCTACCTGATAGAGCAGAAAGCACTCTGGACTAAGCAATAAGTACTCCTGACTGAGCAAAAAGTATTCTTCACTGGGAAGTAAGTACTCCAAAATTACTCCTGCACAACTTTAGTTTCCTGGTCACTTGGTGGTTGTTGTATCTGTGAGTCAATCCATAATCTGGCTACAGCTGGGAAATTCAAAATGAAGTCTTTCCAGTTTTGGAGAAAATGGACCATGAGCTAGCATTATTTCTACAGGTGTAAGAACAGGTGTGTCTACATGAGAGGAAAAGAATACAAAGCTTCCTCCATTTACCACACAACTTCCAGGTTAAGTTTCTGGGATAACCCTGCCCAAACTGAAATATAAAGACCCACACATTGCACGGGGATAGAGCCTAACCCTGACCTGCACACAGGCAGACTGCACTCTGAGAAGCTTTGGAAAAAAATACATGAAGCTTTCTATCATGAAGACACTAGAGAAGACACTCTGATTGGAATGGTAACCACACAATCTCACTACAGCCATGCCACTGATCAGCCATATAGAATCAGTTAAAAATACTGTATACTAATATGAAACCGAATCCTTTTCTTCAAAATACAACCTGCTACTATTATCTTTTCTCTAGTTTTAAAGAAAAGCATTTCCCAACTAGCTGCAGCCTCCAAATTGAGATTTTTTTTTAATTTTTAATGCTTGTACTGAGGCTTGTAGGGCTTGAATTCAGGGTTTCTCATACTCTCCCTTGGTTTCTTTACTCATAGCTGGCACTCTATCACCTGCAAGCACCTGACTTTCACTGCCTGGAGGAAAGCATCAAATGATGTCTATCACCAGGTCTCAGATGGAAATCTAAGATGGACAACACACAGCTACCTTCCTGAGATGAAATACCTCGCAACTGACTTTCCCATGTGTAGAGTTTGTTTTTTGTTTTTTGTTTTTTTTCTGAGTTATACAAGCTGAGATTAAAAAAGAAGGACTTGTGATCTTCACCTGGGTCAACACGTTTGAGTGCATCTGACATGATCATGTTCTGAGTATGCCAGTGAGTTTTTCTGAATATCTGTTGCATAAATACACAGAAAAAATTCATAAATACATAAAAATACAAAGACCATGCACAGACTCAAGAAATATATCTGTTTTAGCCCTTTATCTCATGTCCATCTCTTTATTTCTACCTACCTCTCTATGTAGTCTGTAAAGTTACAGTCATGTTAAATAACCTGTACATAGACTACAACTTCTGGTAAACCAGACTTATTCGTCCATCATGTAGAAACTTCCCTTAAAGGGTTAATGGGCATTCTAATGACTCACTAAAGGTCTCCTTGATTCATTCATTCAGGAGCTACTTGTTTCCTAGCATCAAAAGTGAGAGGACACAGGTGTTATAGGGTGTGACAAGCACTTTTTAGTGCATACAACCTTCAGAAGAGAAATAAATCTCAAACTACTACAGAGGGCTTGGAATGTGGCTTAGTGGTAGAGTGCTTGCATGAAGTCCTAGGTTCGATTCCTCAGTACACATAACCAGGAAAAGCCGGAAATGGAGCTACGGCTCAAGTGGTAAAATGTTAGCCTTGAGCAAAAGAAGCTCAGGGACAGTGCCAAGGCCCTGAGTTCAAGCCCCAGGTCTGGCAAAACACAAAAACAAAAACAAAAATGACTAAATAAACCATTAAATTTCAAAAACAAAAATCCAAACAATGACAGCTGTTCTTTGAAAATCTCATTTGAACTTGGCACAAACGTGAGGTAGATAGTTATGGGAGGTTGGTTTGCTTGTCATTTTTTTTTTTTTTTAAGAAATTGGTATGGCTATCCTTTAATATTTAACAACGTCCTTGAAAACTCTTAAAAAGGCACCATTCACCTTTGGCATTATAAATTAGGTGTGGAAGACATGTTTGTTTGGGGAATTCACAAGCAGGACTAGGTGTTTACCAGACAGAGGATATCGGTCAAGTTCATTTTCAGAAGACTCACAGGGCAAGTGGGTGAGACAGGAAGTCTCATTTGCCTCCTGAATTGTAGAGGGATGACAGTATCTGCTACTTGGGACCTCATGGACAGCATGCACTTCCTGACCACCATGCCTCTTTTTGTCCATCTTTCAGCCTTAAGACAGGTAGCTCTGCCCTTTTTGGAAACTTTGATGTTTCTATGCATCTTTCCATTCCCCACAGTCTACTGGTCTTACCACTGAGTTAGTTCTGACCTCTTTGCAACGTGAAACTTTGAAAAGCTATGCCCTGAAGTTTCTCTGGAAATCGGTGATAAAAATACCAATTGTGATTATAATTACTGCATGAGAAAAATCACATGGCAAGCTCATCTTATCCTGGGTTGCCTGCTCTGCCACAGAAGCGACTTGTCAGGCTAACCTGTAAAGGATAGGTATTTAAAAGTGAGACCAGCCACTGCCAGAGAGAGCTGGCAATGAAAAGGCTCAAAGACAAGAAAGGAAATGAGTCATCAGCCGGGATTATCCGAATGTCTTGAGGTTTCTGAGGTGAACCTCCCCTTCCATCGTTCTTGAGAATAAAGAGGACTTCCCCATGTCAGGATATCGAGGGTCTTTGAAGTCCTGAACAACCAGTGGAGATTCAGTAAAGAACAGTAAAGATGGCACTGGAATCATCTGTGCACCCACTCTAACCCTTAGATGTCATCAAAAGTAGAGATGGTTGGATAGAGAGCAAGAGGGAAGAGAAATTAGAGAGAAGGAAGAGAGAGGATTGCTCGCGTGGCCTTGGGGTTACTCAAGGACAGACAGGAACCGTCACTGGAGCAGCACAGACCTGTGGTAGCTCATCTCATAGATGGACCACTCCAGGTCAGCTCTCCTGCAGCCTCACCCAGCTAGAGGGATTCTGCCTGGCCACTGTAGATTCAGCAGTTTTTAATGAATGGTATCCATTTCCTTCACACTGATTGTCTTACCTAGGGCTTATAAACGGGAAGAATGTTCATAGCAGGAAGGGAGGGAGGGCTTGCACAGCAGCTAGTAGGAGAGTTGGCATTTGACTCTAAATGTAACAAAGACTTCAACATACAGCTATCACTATAACGACTAAGTGTCTAAACTCCCAGTAGTTCGTACTAAATACCATGTTACAGGCAGAGTTAATGGCATCACTCCCTGTCTCCATATTTTAATGACCATACAAAATTTAAAACAGCAAAAAAATAAGAAACAAGCAAATAAAAAAACACCATATAAAAATTAAGATTTATAATATAAATGCTAACAAGTGCCTGCCAGCGTAAAATGAACTAGTAAAGAATAAAAATCATAGGCAGGCACCGATGGCTCACTCCTGTAATCCTGGGTAGGAAAGTTCATGAGACTCTTATCTACAATTAATCACAAAAAAAAAGGTCAGAAGTAGAGCTGTGGCTCAAGTAGTAGAGCACCAGCCTTAGGCAAAAACTCAGGGACAACACCCAAACACTGAGTTCAATCCTAAGACTGGCACAAAGTCACAACAGAGAACATTATGGAAAAGCAATGGTATTCATTATTTCTATAAATATAAGCATGTTACTTCTGCTAACATCTGTGTTTGCTGAAGAGTTAAGTTTCCCAAACACACAACACAAACCCATCATGGGAGATCCCCCACCCCTCACCCCTCTCTCAGAATTAGCGACTAAAACCCCTGTCTATCACTTATTAAGAGCAAAGCTAGTGAAAACAGTCATTACTTTCACTGTTTCATATGTGAGTGCCAGTCCTGGGGCTTGAGCCTGGATATTGTCCCTGAGCTTTTTGCTTAAGGCTAGTGCTTCTCCACTTGAGCCACACCTCCAGCTGGTTAATTGGAGATAAGAGTTTTCGCTGACGTTCCTTTCTTACCCAGGGTGGCTTTGAATCACAATCCTCTGATCTCGGCCTCCAGAGCAGCTGGGATTACAGGTGTGAGCCAGGAGCACCTGGCTCAATTATTCTCCACTAGAAACAAACTCTTTCTATTTATTTTTCTTCCTTTCTCACAATAAAGTTATTCCCTCAACAGGTACAAAACAAGACTTTGGCTATGAGTTTATTTAACCTTTTTTCTTGTTGTTGCTCTCTTTAATCATTTTTTTTGGGGGGGGGGGTACAGTTGTGGGGCCTGAACTCTGGGCCTGGGCACTGTCCCTCAGCTCTTCAGCTCAAGGCTAGCACTCTACCACTTGAGCCACAGCACCACTTCTGGCTTTTTTCTTTTTGCTTATGTGGTGCTGAGGAATCGAACCCAGGGCCTCAGGCATGCAAGGCAAGCGCTCTACCACTGAGCTACCTTCCCAGCCCCTGTTGCTCTCTTTAAATAGTTGAATAAAGGAGTTTTAATTCAACGTGTCCATTCGTTTACATGGAGAATGTATCTTGATCATCAGTATCACCCTTTACTTCACTCTCCTCCCTCATTCTCCATTACATATTATTTCTGTCTCAGACTCCTGCCTTACCACCAGACACCATCTCAGTTTTGTTCTAGGGAACAATTATTAACAGGGAAAGGTATGAATAAAAAGACCTGTCATATTCTGTGTCTTTATGAAGCTGATTTCATCCTGAGTAACTGCTACTTCCCTATTTCTGAACTAACTAATAGGTCTAAGAAAATTCTTTGAGGCCTAATAGCTGTCTTTGCAATTCACTATCATGATATTGGACTTGCACCCAGAAAAGGCCCAGGAACGTGTCATTTCCATCTTCCACATAGGCAATCAGTACCACCAATGAATGCATCTTACTAAACACACACATCCGCACATGCACGTGCATACCCACTGCATTCAGGAAAATACACACCTGATTGCACTTGCAGATAAGTGACCGTAGGAGCCGCTTGCTGAAGAGCTGCTTCGGGAATTATTTAGAATTGTGACCAAGGAGTTGGGAGACGTCCTTATCATGGTCTGAAGGTCAAAGCTATGATCAGACAGCGGAGATATGGACAGCGTGCGTTTCCGACTGGGCCTGGCTGACAGCCTGGGGCTGGGGAACCTGGCACCTGTTAAGGAACACCAAACAGAACCTGATTACCTGCAGTTGGATTCCATCATATCTGTTATTGATTACTCCTGCCTGTGGGAAAGAAGTGAAGGGCAAAAACCACAAAGAGAAGAATCTCTCCTCCCCCTGGGGATCTATGGGCTACAATTGAGGAAATTAGGGGGAAATATTTATCATCCAGAAGCTTACCTCAGGGGAGCTCTGTTTATTAATGTACAGGCAAAATGATAAATTGCTAAACAAAAGGGAAGGACTTATATGTGTTATCCTGCTCATTTCTAATGATTTATGAATCTGACGCCTGCTTAGATATTCTCATGATTAATTCACCACAAGCAACCATGACAGTGATTCCTATATGGGGGTTTAAACACGCTATCCCTCTCGTCTCAAAACACACTGTTTTAAGGCAATGAGCTGAAGAATAAACATGAATTAAGGCAGCCTAAAATGAGAACTCAGGTAAAGGCCTTTCTTCCCAAGGTCTTCAGGAGTTTACCTGCTCCCCGGGTATACTTAGACAGGATCACGAAAACAATTTATAAACACATTGCATTCCATCCATGGTTCTCGAACAGGAGTGTGGCATTTGTATCCCAAGAAGACATGTGACAACAGCCATAGATAATCTGGTTCTCACCACTCGGGCTGTGCTAGCCTCCAGTGAGAGAAAGCCAGGGGTGACACTACCTACCCCACGGGGTGCAGGGCAGCCTGGGGGTGGGGAGGAGGGAGGTTATCTGTCTGCCTGGTAAATTCTCATAATCCAATATATAGTGTACCTAGCAAACATTTAGAATCTTGAAATGCCGTTTATGGATTTTTCCAAGGTCAGGGAGAGAAAACTGCAAGCTTGACAATAAGAAGTCCTGTGCCAATAAAGACAAGTGTAATTCTTCTCAGCCAGGCGCCGGTGGCTCATGCCTATAATCCTAGCTAATCAGCAGGTTGAGATCTGAGGATCATGGTTCAAAGCCGGCCCCAGCAGAAAAGTTCGTGAGACGCTTATCTCCAATAAACCACCAGAGAACCGGAAGTGGCGCTGTGACTCAAGTGGTAGAGTGCTCGCCTTGAGCTGAATAGCTCAGGGACATAGCCCAGGCCCAGAGTTCAAGCCCCACGACTGACAGAAAAGAAAAAAGAAAAAAGGTGTAATTCTCTGGAATATTGAGCCTCCAAAAAACATCCCAAGATGGAGCCCTAATCCAGAGACTAGCAACTCACAGGCCAAGTTAACACGACAGTTCTTAGTAGGAGCTAAAAATGAAAGAATAAGACCCAACTCAGCAGGGATAGAAAAGCATGTGGCCTACAAGCTCACTGGCACCTCTGTGAAGTTCCTGCTTATGCCACAGAGTCATCACAGTAAGTTTAAAGGAAGAAGAAGAACAAAATGCCATCAAGAAAAGAGTGCAAACAGAGATGTCCTATTTCACAGCACAGACACACCTGCTTAGAGAGAACAGGCAAAACCCACAATTGTGAAGTTGTAGTTAAACCTCTACAAAACATCAGACATATTCACTGCAATGATTTTCTTCAATCAAGATGCATTTTCTTCTTATTTTGCTCTATTCTGTTTCAAATAGACTCTCCCTAATATAGCTAGATCTGGCCTCAAACTTACAATCCTCCTGCCTCAGCCTACCGCGTGCTGGCGTTATAGGTCTGCACTATTACACTTGACCCAAAGATAGGATGGATTGTGACATATAAAGTAACCATCCAATGTGTTTTGAAATAATTTAACAAAATGGTATAGACAAATCTGAAAGGCTACTCCCTCAATGTTATCATAGATTCCTACTCCTTAGTATGCTAGAATGATCCATGTATCAAACTAGAAAATCAATCTGAAAGACAAATAAAGCACTGATTTAATTAATTTTTTGCGGGGAAGTGTGGGGGGGGGTCAGTTGTGGGGCTTAAACTTTGAGCCTGGGCGCTGTCACTCAGCTCTTCAGCTCAAGGCGAGCACTCTACCTCTTGAGCCACAGCACCCCCATTTTCTAGTTTTATTAGAGATAAGAATCTCATAGACTTTTCTGCTTGGTCTGGCTTTGAACCATGACCCTCAGATCTCAGCCTCCCAAGTAACTAGGATTACAGGTGTGAGCCACCAACACCCAGCTTGACTTAAATTGTTTTCTTCTTTGCTGATACTGAGGTTTGAACTCAGGGCTCTGTGCTTCCTAAACAAAGGCTGTAGGATTTGAGCTACATTCCTCACTTCTTCCTTCTTTCCTTCCTTCCACCAGCATCAGGATCTGAACTCAGAGTCTAGGTCATTTGGTCAGCTTTCTTGCTCCCTACTGGTACTCTACCACTTGAGCCACACCTAGCCCAGCTTTTTGCTGGTAACTCGGAGATGGAATTTTTCAGGCTTTTCAGCCTAGGCTGGCTTTAAATCTCCCATCTGCAGATCTCAGCCTTGGGAAGAGACAGGATTATAGGCACGTGCCAAAAATGCTAACCATGAGCCTGTATTCAGCAGCTCAAAGAGATGTTATCCCTCACAAATCTAGCCACTGGCTTCTCCACTGAAGCCAGAGCACTGTTATTTTTCTGGGCCGACAGACCCAACCTGGCTTTCCACTAATTGTTTTGTTTCATTATTCTAATAAAGAAATCTGACAAAGAGAAAGGTAGTTTCCTTTTATGTGATGAATGATAGGGGATCTAAATTCCTACTTAATGACAATCAATTTACCATACTCTGGCAAATTAAAATTCCTTTAATTAGTTTTTACAAAGTAAAAGGGTAGCTTCATCCTTTATTTAGATAAATCCTGCCACATCCTGACTAAACACATTCTCATCAAATGGGCAAAGCAATGCAGGCTGACCTTCCATGGAGTCTCTCTTATTTTAATTCTTTATTTGCAGATTTTTAAATAACTAATTTGCATAATGATGCTGAACTTCTTCCCCCACCCTTCTCACCCACAACAATCGCTAATTGAAATGGGGCTGTTGATGAATCTGAGATGTAAGCGCTCTCTACCTTACGGAGCTGAGCAAGCGTCCTGCTGCAGATGTAACGTTTCTTCCTGGGTGGCAAAGTGCCCGGTGGAAAGCAATGGAGGCTCATGGACCCCTGGACTACACCAGCAGCTCTGGGTGGTCAGGACAGTCAGGCTGTACATTTCTAACTCTGTGGAAACCCCACTCTTTTCCAAACCTGAGAACCAAGTTACCAGAGGGTTGGGCACATGCACACCTCTGTAAAAAGAGTACAGCAGATCAGTGGAAATGCCTCAGTCTTCACTGCTCCCTTCATTCTCAAGATCTCACTAATGCAAGACATTAAACTGGTCCTTTCTGGAGAGAAGAAGGCCTTGGCATAGCCCACTTATAATCCTCGCTATGAAGAAAGCTGAGATGGAAGGATCAAAGTTTGAAGCCAGCCCAGGCAGGCAAGTCCTGGAGATTTTCATCTCCAATTAATCAACAAAACCGGAACGCAGAAATGTGGCTTAAGTGGTATAGGTCCAGCCTACCACTTATGCTGAATTATCTGAATTATTAGAACTGAATTTCTGATTAGAAATTATTTCCAATTTATTCTGAATTATTAGAATTATTTCCTAATTTCTGATAAGGAAATCAGCTCTTGGTCTTCCTAAATGTTGCTATTCTGCTCCTCCCTTGCTCTCGGCAATGCAAACCAAACTCAGCCTAGGGTGTTCTCCATGTAAAAAAGACACAGGGACAAAAAGAAATCATTTAACTTGAAACGAGAAGCTAAGTATCGATGGATTTTGTTTTTCCCCAATTAATTTCTAAAGCATTAAAAAAAAAAAAGCAAGAAACCAAGACGTAATTAAGCAAAGTCCATCATGCCTGGATACTATTAACTTATTTTCTTATCCACAGAGGCAAGTTACCATCATTTCTGGATCAGTTATCTTCATATACCACACCAAACAAACATGCATGGGATGAGCTTCAGTTACCCCAAGACACATGTTCATGCCGACACCACCACATCTGTGGGTTCTGTATTCTTCAACACTTACCATCTAAGGCATGAAGGTACTCCATGTGGATAGTACCTGCCCCAGCAGTAGCGGCCGAGGGGAGGATGTCTGCATAGGGACTGCGCTGGCCAGTCAGCAGGGCCATCTGGTGATAGTATTCTGCAGGACTCACTCCAGCATGCGGGGCTGCAGGAGACACAGCCATGGGACAATGAGAAGAACATCTACCATCCACTGCCCTTAGGAAATCCCATGTCTACCTGTCAGCCTCCCCTCCTCTCCCCCACCTCCCTCAGACAATTCCTTTTCTGGCTTAATACTGGAGAGTTCCTACACATCAAATTATGCTTTCGCAATATTAGATATCTTTCATTCGAAAGTGCAACAGTATGCAGAGAAAATAAAATAGGCATTCCAAAGATTTTACTGTTTCAAGAAATCCAAATGATGAAAACATACACAGAACAGTCATGCATCCCTTCGCGCACAGACACATGGCTGGGGCTGGTGGTTCATTCCTGTAATCCTAGCTACAGAAGCTGGAGATCTAAGGATCAAGGCTCAAAGCTAGCCTGAGCAGGAAACATCTGTGAGATTCTTATCTCCAACTAGCTACCAAAAAGTCAGAAGTGGAGGTATGCTTCAAGTGGTAGAATACTAGCCTTCAGGAAAAACAGTAAGGGACAGTGCCAGGCCCTGAGTTCATGCCCCAGGACCCCTCTCCCTCAAGTAAAGACAGGGATACAAGGATATACTCAGAAAGGTGTCATTAGGTGATTTTCTGATATACTGATAATAACTTCAATAGGTGATTTAATGTTATGTGACCTCCACTAGATGTAAACTTCTTCCAGTGTAGATTGTTACAAAGCTCATGGCTCTATGTATATGGCCATGTTTGTCCCTTGGAAGAAAACAGGTTCTGATACTAAGTTACTATATATACTTATTTCTTACAGCCAGCAGTAAACAAGCTGACAACTATATGACCTTCCCAGGTATGCATAAAATTCTTCCCCAACCTCTCAGGAGTGTATGAGTTAACACTTACTAACATAAGGACTTAAGAGATTATAAGAAGAAGAGGGGAACAAAATAAAAAAGAAAGTAAGAAAAATGAAAGCAAGCTTCTAATGACATCCAACTGACTGATAAGATCATTTTCACCTTCCCTAATTTAAAAGCTCTCTTTCTGTTATTTTCCTTTATAAAATAAAAAACATAGGGGCTGGGAAGGTGGCTCAGTGGTAGAGTGCTTGCCTTGCATGCATGAGGCCCTGGATTAGATTCCTCAGTACCACATAAGCAGAAAAAGCCAGAAGTAGTACTGTGGCTCAAGTGGTAGAGTGCTTGCCTTGAGCTGAAGAGCTGAGGGAGAGAGCCCAGGCCCAGAGTTCAGGCCCCATGACAAAATAAATAAATAAATACATATATACATACACAAACATATATATAACCTATATACACACACACATATCTACTATGTATAGAAAACCTATCAATCTGGAGCAATTTGCTGGAAAGAGTCAGCTTTCCAGGAATGGGGTAATGACCAGTTTCTACCTGCCAATTTCTGGGCCTGAGTAGCAGGATACTGGAGCCGACCTGAGTATGGCCTCCAGATTCCCAGAGGTCTAGATTCACACCAGTTCTGGGAACTGGCTCAAAGCAAAAAAGTAATTCCATGCATGTAAAGTGCTTAATATATACCATTCAGTCAGGCTGGTAAAAGTTTTACAATGATTTTCCCGGAACACCATTAGTTTGGCAATGTCTGTGAGTTTTGTATTATAATTACATCTTCATACTCACATGCATGATACACCCAAAAAACAGAATTAAAAGCATTAAAAAAAAAAAAACCCTTTTAACTAGGTACCAGTGGTTCATGCCTGTAATCCTAGCTACTGGAGAGGCTGAGAACTAAGAATCAATTCAAAGCCAGATGGACAAAAAAATTAATGAGACTCTCATACAAGTTAACTAGCAGAAAGCCTGAAGAAGAGCTGTGGCTCAAGTGCACCAGTCCTAAAGGAAAAAGCTGAGGGAGAGCATCAAAGCCCTGAGGTTAAAGCCCCAGCACCAAGCCCTCCGTGAAAAGATTCTCCACATCCCTTATTGCAAACTCAAACCCAAAGGAGGAAAGCTAACTCATACTTGACACTCCCAATTTTATCTTTCAAATGGGAATATTGTTCAAATGGTAAAAGCCAATTCCAAGTGCACCAAAAAAAAAAAAAAAAAGAGAGAGAGAGAGAGAAGAAGGAAAAAAAAAGAAGCAAATAAATGAACCAGCAACAGTTGCAAGAGGAGTTAGTCCTGGGAATATATTAGACGGATGGTCCGTAAGAAATGTACTGCTTCCCACCTCACACAGCCAGCCTGGGGAACCCTTCCCAGGAGGAAGGTGGAAGAGAACAGGGAAGCCTCCTCAATTACCTATCAGTCAAAAGAAATGCATGGTCTCCCTCTCTCTTTGAAAGCAACCAGAAGTGACTTCTTTATTTTTATTTATTTATTTATTTATTTTTGGTGCTGGCTCTGGGGCTTGAACTCAGGGCCTCAATACTGTCCCTGAACTTTTGTGTGCTTAAGGTTAGTTAAGGCTACCACTTGAACCACAGCTCCGTTTCTGACTTTTTGCAGTTAACTGGAGATAAAAGACTCATGAATTTTCCTGACCAGCCTGGCTTCAAACCACGATCCTCAGATCTCAGCCTCCTGAATAGCTAGGATTACAGGCATGAGCCACCAGGGCCCAGCAGCAGTGACTTTTGATTAACACTGTTTCTAAGATGACATAATCTGCTTTCTAGTTGTAGACCTCTGCAATCCAAGTCCAACAACTGTAAGTAGTTTGTACATATGTACAAGAACAGGAAATAACCTTCCTCAATGGAAAGAGTAGGTCATTTATTTCCCTATTGAGAGTTAGAAGAACACCCAGCTAAATTGAAGAATCACATGAAAAGTAACTAATGAGACAAACAGGACCCATAACAATTTGATTTTTATTTTAATAATAGGAATTTGATTCTTGAGCACCTCAAATGAGCACAGGCTATAATGGACATAAAGTCTGAGTTTCTTTCTGCCCTTTCCACTCCTTCTTCTGACTTTATTTGGTAGCCAACAGAAGGCCCAAGCAGTAGGTCATATTTCTTTGAAGCCCTTGTCATGCTCTGTGGTCCATGGACCAAAATCACCCAGTAGTCTGGACAAGTACTCCAGCAAACTAATGCCAGTGGACTGAGGTTTAGAAAGAGGTAGCGTGATCCTGGGAGGCAGCGGATCCGAGACTCACCATCGGTAGGGCTCAGCCCTCGAGCAGCAGAGATCATAGACAGGGTCGGGCTGCTGTGCAGGGAGCGGATGTAGTCCATGTATGGGTTGATGTAGGGGTGAGGGGGGCTGAAGGGAGACTCTGAAGCAGCAGCAGGGTTCCGGTGCGGGGAGATCCTAATGAAGGGCAGGTCCGAGTACGTGGGGCTACTCGATAAGGCAGAAGGCCTAGGGGGATACAAGAGGTTTGCATGAGTCAAACAACTCCACGGGCAGATGTGGCCTGTGTGAAAAAGAAATAAGATTTTTAGTGAACTCACAGTTGGGGTGGTGGGCAAATTCCCCAGGCATATATACTCTCAGTCCTCTTACCTTAGAGTCAGGATGACATAAGCAGGTAAAACACCTGCATGAATGAAAGAGAGACAGAGACAGAAAGACAGACAGAAAGAGACAGAGAAAGGGAGACATAGATGGATAGATATCACATATACCACATTTATAACTTGTGATATATACTGTCATATATATATATATATATGCATATGTGTATATAGGTATATATGGCATCACATATATATCACATATACCACACATATCAAATACATGTGTGAATATATACTGGGCTTTGAACTCAAGGCCTGGCTTGCCAAGTAGGCACTCTGCTACCTGAGCCATGCCTCTAGCCCTTTGTGCTGTAGCAATTTTTCCATTTTTTTTCACCTAAGTTCTCAGTTGTTCTTTCATTTGTTTGCCCCTGCCAGGATCAACCTTGGTTATTAGCTTCTTACATGTACTTTCTATGCAGCTAGGATTACAAGTGTAATTTTATTGTTGAAAGGGAGTGGGAGGGTGCAGGGGGGGGGGGGGGGTTTCACTAGCTTTTTGCCTGTTAGCCCTGGACCACAATTCTCCTGATCTCTACATTCTGAGTAGATATGATAATAGGTGAGAGCTATCATGTTAACCTAAAAACTAGTTTTTAAGCCAACCAAACCAAGCATCTCTCCAGCCTTGAAAGACAGTGGCCAATGGCTATAATCCTAGCTACATAGGAGTCAAGATCCGAGGATCAAGGCTCAAAGCCAGCCCAGAGAGGAAAGTCCAGGACAGTCTTATCTCTAATTAACCAACAGAAAGCTGAAAGTGGAGCTGTGGTCCAAGTGGTAGAGAATAACTCTTGAGTGAAAAAGCCAAGGGACAATGCCCAGGCCCTGAGTTCAAGTCCTAGCACTTACACAGAAAGAGAGAGAGAGAGACAGAGACAGAGACAGACAGACAGACAGATAGACAGAGACAGAGACAGACAGAGACAGAGAGAGAGAGAAATGGTCAGAGCACTCATCTGACAAGGGTACCACTGTATAAATCACAGTCATACAACAAAGCTGTGTTAGTATCACCCAACAGATCTACTCCCAAATTCTTGGCAGCTAGAAGACTTGCCAGTCCTTCTTGCGGAAAAGTATAGACAGGAGGAGCGAGGTTTCTTGGGTGTGGCAGACAGGCAGGGGTGTGTTCTGCATTGTCTAGAGAAGCGCCCAAAGGTGGTGAGCAGAGGAGAGGTGACACCTTTGCAAAGAAGAGGTCGGGGCAGTGTGGAGGGGACCACCACTAAATGTTTCATGTACCTTACAAATACTTCACCAACAGTCCCAACATTGACCTGGTAAATATTTCTCAAACTGATCTTTTTTAAGTTGTCATTTGCAGATTAAAATAGCACTAAGGAAAAAAAATTATAGGTGTCTCTTTCTTTGTTTCTATTTCTAGGAGACAGACACAGGAAAGGAACTGAAGTTAATATGGCCTCCCTACTTCTGTGTCTCTGGGGCTCTCCATGGTCTCTGTCAGAGACTGTAAGCAGGACCCACAGAGAGGGGAAAAGCAAACAAACAAACATTCTGGGGAAAACACTAAGATTTAGAATTGGTCTTAAAAAAAAACCCAACAACCATATATTCTGAGCTATTTATACAGTAGCAAAAGATTACAGGAAGATGCTATGATGTGCTAACCAAAAGCAGTATTTGATTTGGAGAGCAAATATTCCTGAAGTGTAGGGACTCGTCTGAGCTGTTTGCACTGGGTAAAAAGAGGAGCTATGGCTCCATTACCTCTGCTAGCGAATTCAAGGTTCCAGGATCCCCATTCAAAGACAGTGCCCTCTACATGATTCCTACCTATCTGTCTCCTCCAGACCTAATGGGCACCCACTATGCTGTTCTAACTGCTCAGCAGACTTAGACCCTGTACAAGGAACTACTTTACAGAAGCTCATGGGTATTTTGGTGTCATCACTTCAGACAATAAAGCAATATACAATCGCTCTTGTTTGTGGGAGTATTTTGACTCCAGATTAATTTTTACTAGGTCCTCATGAAAACTAGGTTACCATGAGAAAAGTAAAGGATTCTTTCTGTCCTTTTTTTTTTTTGGTCCCAGTATTAAGCTTGAACTCAAGGCTCTACCTCCTGAGTCAAATCTCCACTTTCAAATTTTGGTTGGTTAATTGGAGTTTCATGGATTTTCCTGTCCAGGATGGCTATCAACCACAGTTCTCGAAACTTAGTTTCCTTGAGGAGCCAAGTGGGAGCCAGTGATGCCAAGTGAAGGATTCTTAGTAAAGCATTCGTAACAGTTACTGTATGATAAAATTAAAAAGCAAATGAACAATATACATATTGTAGACAATCAATGGACTTTTTCATGAGAATGAAAGAGCATTATATAATTTAATTTGGTTCTGCTTTTCCATCTACCATATTGGGTTACTAGAGCACCAGGATTAAAGTCTCAGTATTCTATCACCTGGTTTACCCATTACAGGAGATTAAGGGAGGTTTCAAAATCAGATTATTAGCTTGCTTGCACAATGCTTGGTACCCTAGAAATATACACATAACATCTCTTTCCATGCATGGGCATCCCAACCAGGGAAACTGAAACATGTTGTATTTCTTTAATGCAACAAATTTGGGTTTGTTCTTTATAGAATAATTAGATACTATTCTTCATATTCAAGCACTGACCTAATACAGATCAAAGGGTGAGAAATCTCTCTATAATTCATTTTTAAATCAATTCATTTAACAAAGGCATAGCTTTAAATATATTAAATTTTACTAAGAAGTTCCTTTCTACCAGCCATGATGGCTCATACCTGTAATCCTAGCTCTTTAGGAGGAAGACATGAGGAGGGATCACAACTGGAGGACAGTCCAGGCAAAATGTTCTCATGAGACCCCATCTCAACCAATAAAAGTCTGATGTGGCAGTTCAAACCTATCATGCCAGATACTAGGATTGTAGTTCAGGCCAACCACAGCATAAATATAAAACTACTCAAACATGAACTACTAAAGCTGGATGCTGGTGGCTCAGGTCTGTAACAGTTTTTACACAGGAGATTTAGAAGATCTTGGTTCAAAGCCAGCCCAGGCAGAAATAAATGTGCTTTGAGTTCAAACCCTGGTTTCAATCAAGGGGGTGAAGGAAACAAAAACAGAACCAAAACAAAAACAAAGAAAGAAGGGAGAGAAGGAGAAAGGGAGGAAAGAAGAGGACGTGAAGGAGGAGGGAGGAAGGAAAGAAAGGAAGGCAATTAAATTAAAACAAAAATAGGTGTAGTGGTGTATTTCAATGACGACAGAACACCTGCCTAGAAAGCACCAAGGCCCTGAGTTCAAAGCCCAGTGTTGCCAGAAACGAAGAAAAGCTGCTCTCCATATAGCACAGGAAATTAGCAGCTAGAGCTTGCATAACAAGTGTTCCAGGCATGGTCTTACAGAACCTTGTACTCCGTCATTTCCTCTTCAGAGGTGGCTTCAGCATAACCTCTGAGCCAGAACCACTGAGGTGTAGTTTGTGCTTTTGCGGCTATTCACCTGCCACTTCTTCGCTACCCAGCAGGGACACACCCAGGGTGGTAGAGGCTCATTTTCTTTGTAGCAAATAAACAAATATTTTCCACGACCATTCAACTGACTTATGACTTTTATGCCTTTACCACTTTGTAGTTCAACGCTTAAATCTACATGCTAGGTGCTGAAGGCTCACACCTATAATCCCCAGCTATTCAGGAGACTTAGATTTGAGGATGATGCTACCCGGGGCAGGAAAGACCAGTAGCTGGTTAATTAAGCTGTGGCTCAAGTGGTACAGCCTCAGCTTTGAGCAGAAAAGTGAAAGGGCAGCACCCAGGCCCAGGCCCTGAGTTGAAACACAAACAAACAATCATACACACAAATAAACCAAGGGAAAAATATTAAAAGCACTGTACAATCACATTTATTCAAAGTTTAACAGCAGATAAAAATTTTTTAAAAGAAAAAAAATGAAATATCAACTTTAGTGTTAAGCTAATGCACACCTTTGGGTGGCCTTTCTGATATGTAGCAATTCTTTTTATTCATATGCTTGCATAGTACTTAAGTTTCTTCTCTGTTATTAGTTATAACTCATGTGCATTATATGTGCTCTTCTGTGTGCTCATTATTCATCTTTTCTGGGGGCTGCTTTGAATGCAAAGTCTCTTGCTCATCTCACTTTTGCTAACAGCTGGCGCTCTACCTTGTGATCTATACCTGCAGTCCAGCTTTTAGCAATTTACTTGACGATGGAGACTTGCAGTCTTTGTCACCCAGGCTGGCTTCATACTGTGATCTTCCAGACTCCAGCCTAGAATCACAGCTGGAATTACAGATGTAAACCACCAGTGGCTGGCTAAAGAGACTTATTGTACGCTCAAAGTTTGTTGGGAGTTTTGGTCTAACATAGGTACAAAAAATAGGCCATTTGAAGTGGCAGACCCCTGAGATTAATTAATTAATTAATTAAAAATAGGCCATTTGAAGTGGCAGACCCCTGAGATTAATTAATTAATTAATTAAAAATAGGCCATTTGAAGTGGCAGATCCCTGAGATTAATTGCTATGTAGTACTATGACTACATCCTGAACACCTAACGGGTTGTCATAGAATTTAACCCCTCATAGCCGGGCACCGGTGGCTCACACCTGTAATCCTAGCTACTCAGGAGGTTGAGATCTGAGGATCGCGGTTCAAAGCTAGCCCGGGCAGGAAACTCCGTGAAACTCTTATCTCCAATAAACCACCAGAAAACCAGAAGTGGTGCTGTAGCTCAAGTGGTAGAATGCTAGCCTTGAGCTGAAGAGCTGAGGGACAGCACTCAGGCCCAGAGTTCAAGGCTCACGACCGACCAAAAA